AAACAATTGTCATATCATTACTAAATCTGATGATTATTTACACTGTTTTTGGCCTAAATGTCAATTCAAGACAACAAATAAACACCTTTTAATTCAACATCAATTAAGTCATTCAAACGTAAATTCATTTAAATGCGATTTTAATAATTGTAATAAGGCCTTTAAAACTAAATACGATTTAAATCATCACAAAAATTACATTCATTTAAAAATCAAGAAATTTATTTGTGATTTCAATGAATGCAATCAGAAATTTACAAATAGAATGACATTATATAGTCATAAAAGATCTCAACATTTATATAAAAATTTTCATTGTTTTTGGCCTAAATGTCAATTCAAGACAACAGACAAATTCAGTCTTAAATATCATGAATTAATTCATTCGTCAATAAAACAATTTAAATGTGATTTTAATAATTGTAATAAAAGCTATACTCAAAGTCCTAATCTTCAAAGACACAAAAATAGAGATCATTTAAATGTGAGATTTATTTGTGATTTCAATGAATGCCACAAAAGTTTTGACTCAAAATGTAATTTATTTCGACACAAAAGTTGTGTTCATTTAAATGAAAAGAAATTCAAATGTAATGAAGAAAATTGTGGCAAAAAATTCAAAGCAAACAAGAATCTTATTTTACACAAACGCATTCATTCGGGAGAAAAACCATTTATTTGTAATTTTAAAGGGTGTGATAAAACATTTCGGACAAAACATGAATTAAGATTACATATGAGAAGACATGAAAATAAAAAGTCATAAATGTATTCATAATAACTGTAATCAACGGTTTGTTACAAAAACGGAATTACAGCAACATTGTTTGAAGTGTTCATAAGTAAAAGTATGCTTTTATTATTGGTTTTATAAAATTTGTTTTAATTGTATAAACAAAAGACAAAATTATAAAAAATAATTATTACTATTTATATTAAGATTCTTTTTAATTGTTTTATATAAACACAAAAATTTATTTGTAATATCGAATAATTTTTAAAAATGTTAAAACTTATAAACAAACAATTTATTATTTTTCCGGGGATTCATATTTGGATTTTACATTTCAATAGTATCTATCATTATACTTCATATTTAAATATAGTATATTAAATGTTAAAATTTTTAACTATAGTTATGTTTTGTAATTAATTATAAATTTAAATATGTACAAAAAATTTAATATTGTATTTTTTTAAGTGATGTTTTAATCTTAATAATAATATAATACTTTAGCTTTAATTATAATATTTATTAAAAACACAGTATTTATTTTTACAATGTTTTAAAAATAATTTTAATAGTGCAGCTTAATTAGTATAACATATTGTATTTTAAGGTTTTAATATGGTTTAATAGAAACGACCCACCTAGCAGCAACTAATGAACCTGGGCACATTGTATTCATAGAAATATAATGAAACAAAGAGTTTAAAAATAAAATATTCTGTCGATACATGATTCATGTAACACATGTCGGCAACAGATATTTATTTACGGAATACTCTGTATTGCAAATAAATTTAATTTAGCTGCAGAATAACGACTATGTAAAAATGAATGTTTTTTAAAAATAGCTATTTATTAGTATTTATTTTGTTTTATATACAGTATGTGTTTGTATTAATTGTAATTCACTGAAACTTTGAACAATAAATAAATTGTTTGATTTAAATGTTTTAAGATTAACATAGATTGAGTGATATGTGAGTTGTTTGCCGTATAAGCCATAGAGAGGTCAATAACTCTATTGGATTAAAGATTATATTCAGGGATGCATTGAATGTATGGATAATAAACCGGATATTTATTATCGACGATAGTATATAAAGTGATGTTTAAGTTTGAAAGAAATTATTTCAGTGAAAATCAAGAATTTGTGAAAATATTTATTGTTTAAAATGTGTTCAAAATTAATGAGTTTTTCGTTGATTGAAATGAAAAGTAAATTAAATGCAATAAAGAGTTTGTGTGAAATAATAGACAAAATTCAGTGTATTTTGAATACAAATAATAGTGTTTTGTGTGAAGCGATTGAATGCGAAAATNAATACAAATAATAGTGTTTTGTGTGAAGCGATTGAATGCGAAAATAATGATTATTTTTCAATCAATCAAACAATTGATTGCAATTCATGTAAAATCAGTGATAAAATGCTAAACAATTGTCATATCATTACTAAATCTGATGATTATTTTCACTGTTTTTGGCCTAAATGTCAATACAAAACCAAACATCGTGGTCATTTATTTCAGCATAAATTAATTCATTCAGAAATAAAACAATTTAAATGTGATTTTAATAATTGCGATAATGTTTTCGCACAAAATTCAAGTTTAATTCGACACAAAAATAGCATTCATTCAAATGTGAGATTTATTTGTGATTTCAATGAATGCCACAAAAGTTTTAATAGAAAATCACATTTAAATTATCACAAAAGTTATGTTCATTCAAATGCTGATAAAGTACAATTTGAATGTGATTTCAATAATTGTAATAAAAGTTTTAAATGGAAATCACAATTAATTGAACACAAAAAGTCATTTCATTTAAATAATAGTTTTATTTGTCATATCAATGGTTGTCTCAAAGTATTTACAACAAATCGTTATTTATCTGATCACAAACGTGTTGTCCATTCAAATAATAATAAGACTTTTCACTGTTTTTGGCCTAAATGTGAATATAAAACTATAAATAAACATCATTTAACTTTACATCAATTAATTCATTCACAAATAAAACAATTTAAATGCGATTTTAATAATTGTAATAAAAGTTTTAAAACTACGTCAAATTTAAATACACATAAAAATAACATTCATTTATTATCCGATAAAAGATTTGTCTGCGATTTTACTGATTGTCAAAAAACTTTTAAAACAAAACAACAATTATTTCGACACAAAAATTGCGTTCATTTAAATGAAAGACAATTTAAATGTAATGAAAAATATTGTGACAAAAATTTTAATACAAATCAACGCCTAAACGAACACAAATTCAGACATTCGGGAGAAAAGCCATTTATTTGTGATATTAATAATTGCAACAAAAGTTATAAATGTAAATATGATCTCAAAGAACATATGAAAATACATAATATTCAATAAATATATTTGATAAGTTTATAACATATATAAAGTACTAAAATGTTTTCAAAAATCTACCACATTTATTAATTTTTTCTAAATAAGTATTTTATGATCTATTAAACCACAAACTTATTGTTTTGTAGCTATAATTATAATTCAATTGATATACAATTGTATTTGAGCGAAATTACATGAATTACAACATTAAATTTATTTCAAATAACTTTTACATTTTGTTCTTTTTTAATAATTAGTATTTTAGTTGAATTTAATAATAAATAAATAATTAAATATAAATCATTGATATTTCATTTAAAATATTAAAAATAAATGTACGAAAATTACACATAAAATTATTTATTTTACGGGACTAGAGGTCAAAAAACTTATACATTTTAAAAACCGTACAATTAAACAAATAAAACTATACATAAAATATAAATTAATTTAATAAATAACCAACGATTTGAGCAAAACCTATGCCATCGCGTGTTTGATACGGTGTTGACTCAACACTAGCTCCACGGGTCGGGTCATGGGGTAGAGCTCCGGGCGCTGGTGTTTGACTACTGTTTGCGTTATTATTACTATTGTTTTGGATATAAAAGTATGAATTAATTACTGTTTTAAATGAGTATTTCTAATGAAAATTACTTAAAACACAGCTTAATATCGGAGTCTATGGCCGGCGATGAATAGCCAGTGCATCGCCCGGTGCTCTACCGGTATTCAACTCATGCGTTAATATCATATCCACGACATCGGAGTCCAAATCACTAGACATTCATTGAAATAACACATAAAATACATCAATAATTAATGTCTTAAACACCGAAACAAAACACATACTGTTTGTTGTCCACCGATGGGGTGTCAGGACTGATAGCACCGGTCATAGGACTGGCCGTTGACTGCTGTCCACCGGCAATGACATCATTGGATCACTACTTGTGTCCACACAAACGCAACGATCGATAAATGATTGATAAATATCACCGAAAATATTGTCTTTAGTTTACTAAACAATTTGCGCCAATATTTTGTTTTGTCGCATAAATTACGGCTCATTATTAATACAGTGTTTTGAGACCCCTTTCAACGCAAACGTATAGAAAATGCATTACGTTTTGAGTCAACAATTTATTACATTATTTATAATAAATATAGAATATACAGTCGACTTTAGATATTAGTAAATTAAAACTTAAAATAAAACAAACTTAAATAAATAGAATAAAGCAAACAAATAAAAGTTTTACCTAGATCATAAAATTAGTTTTATTTTAATATTAATGATACTTCAATACGTGTGCAACTGTTGGCCAACCACTGCATGGAAAACATCATTCAATTTTAAAACTAATTATAAAATATTTTATATAATTTTATTTTTAGCAAATAATAAATACATAAATATAATGAATTTACAAATAAGTATACTGTACGTATAGTTGTAATTAAAATGTTTATCATAATAGGTTATTTTTAATAACCAGGGTTTAAGTTTATATTGATTTTTAAATATTAAAACCCTATATGGTTCAATTTTAAATGCTCGTTTAATGATGCTTTACTAATGTATGATTTGTTACAATTATTTACACTGCAAATAAATAATTTTAGATTTAAATGTTTATAATTCATATGAGCTGTTAATTCACGATTTGCTACAAAACATTTGTCAAATCACTTGAAAGGTATTTATATTTGCAAATATTTGTGTGAATTCTTCTCTTATGAATCCGTAAATTCGAGGAATTATAAAATGTTTTCTTACAATCATTAAAGTGACAAACAATGGCTTTTCTCCTTTAAAATGTATACGAAATAAATATTGAAATTACAAATTGTAATTACTTTTTAATGTGTTTGTAATTTAAATGTTGTGTTAATTCCTGTTTCGTAACAAACCGTTGATTACAGTTATTATGAATACATTTATGACTTTTTATATTCAAATGTCTTTTCATATGTCGTGCAAAATCGGATTTTGAGCGAAAACATCTGTTGCAATTATTGAAATGACAAATAAATGGTTTTTCTCCCGAATGTATGCGTTTGTGTTGAATGAGACTATCTTTTAATGTAAAAATTTTGCCACAATTTTCTTCATTACATTTGAATTTCCTTTCATTCAAATGAACACAACTTTTGTGTCGAAATAAATCGTGATTTGTTTTAAAACTTTTGTGGCATTCATTGAAATCACAAATGAATCTCACATTTAAATGAACGCTATTTATGTGTCGAATTAAATGTGATTTTCGATTATAACTATCTTCACAATTATTAAAATTACATTTAAATTGTTTTATTGATGAATGAATTAATTTATGTGAAGTTAAACATTGTTTAGTTGTTGTATTGAATTGACATTTAGGCCAAAAACATTTAAAGACTTTATTGGACTTCAAATGATAAGATTGTACATGGTAATCAAGACATTGTTTTGATGCAAAACTTTTGTGGCATTCATTGAAATCACAAATAAATCTTACATTTAAATGAACGCTATTTTTATGATTGAATAAACTTGCACGTTGTTTATAAGTTTTATTACAATTATTAAAATCACATTTAAATTGTTTTATTTCGGAATGAATTAATTGATGTGAAATTAGTTTAATTTTCTCAGTTGTCTTAAACTGACATTTAGGCCAAAAACAGTGTAAATAAACATCAGATTTAGTA